TTTTTACCCGCTTCTTCCTTTTTGGGTTACGGGGGTCACTGGTGCCCATATCCAGCATTCACTGTGACAGAGACAGGGGACACCCTAGACACGTCTCCAGTCCATCACAGGGACACAAACGAGACAAACAACCATTCACGCTCTCACTCACACCTAAGGAAAATTTAGAGTTACGAATCAGTCTAACATGAATGTTTTTGGTCCAACCAGAAAGGCCCCAGGCCGGGATTTGAACCGGCGACCTTCTCGCTGAGAGGCAACAACTGTGCCACCATGCCGCCTCAGAACAGTTTCATGTTTTATCATCACTTGCTTGTTTTAGAAAACATGCATGGATATTTTCTTCCTATTTTATGGCTTTTTGTTGCTATTTACTGCTGAACTGCTGCTGCAGTGCTTTCACTGATTGTCTGCAGGAGTTTCCAGTTAAGCTGCAGTCTATCTCTCAGTGTCTCCATAACATTTAGATCATCTTTGTTTGGGGCCTGAAGGTTTTCTAGAGGGGGTGCAGGGTCCCCGAGGAGGATGGAAGCTGTAGGGCTCACACACGCCTTCTCGTTCTCCTATAAAATAAAAATAAAAATAATGTTCAGCCGTATACTAAAGCACAACTAGTGTCTTCTATATGAAACTCGCCCTGGCCGTCCCACCTGCAGCAGCACCAAAGTGTGACCTTTAGCGAAGCTCTGAAGAAAACCAGTTAGGTGCTGCCACACGCCATCACACACGTCACTATCTGGCATCCGGACCAGAAGGACAAGGTTGGGGTTGTACTCATATCCCAGAGGTAAAAGGAGGCTAAAAACAGCATGCATGAATCCTGAGGTGTCACTGCAACCCTGCAGAAAAACACATAACATACACTCAGTTTCCAGACTATACATGTAGCATGGACATTTATTTTTATTTCACATGCTCATGATTGTGCTCATCAATTGTGCTCTTAGTATAACACACAGTACATTCTTCAGACACACTGGAATATAATATTTGCTCTTTTGTTCCTGTTTGTTTCCACTGGTGATCTGCACCACAAGTGTTTTCCTAAAGACAAAACAATAAAATAAGATCATATTATTTGGTTTGTGTCAAATTGTGCTATTAAACTTTATTTAAAAAAAATAATGATTATATAACCAATAATTACCCATCTCTGGCAATGTGATCAGGGACGGTTCCATTACCGACGTACACGATCAGAACCCTGCATCAATGTCAATGTCAATTTATTTATATTGCACATAAAAACAACAAAAGCTGACCAAAGTGCTTTACAGTTTAGACAGATTAAAAATAAAAAAAGAGTAAAAATGCATCTAGTGCCACTCAAAAACATAAGTTGACAGTAAAAACAACACACAACAACAATAAAATCAGCTCAACTTGTTCTCAGACTCTGTGTGGATGAAATGCCAAGGAATACAGATGAGTCTTGAGCAAAGATTTCAAAGTCTCAACAGTCTGAGCTGTCTTTAAATTCTCAGGTAAACTGTTCCACAGTTTTGGAGCAGCAACCGCAAAAGCCCGATCACCCCTGGATTTAAGTTTGGATCTGGGGACATCTAAGAGGAACTGGTTGGTAGACCGGAGTGCTCTTACTGGAGTGTAGATGTTAATGAGATCACATAAATATGACGGGGCCAGACATACAGACATATGTTACATCAATACAAATGAAAGCAGATTAGCAATGTGTCTAAAAATACAGTAGTCCCTCGCTACTTCGCAGTTCATTTATCGCGGACAAACCCTATTGCAGTTTTTTAAAAATAATATTGGACATGACACACAATAATAATAATAATAATAATAATAATAATAATAATAATAATAATAATACATTTTATTTCAGGGCACCTTTCAAAAACCCAAGGTCACCTTACAAAAACAATTAAAATCAGCAATTAATAAAAACAGAATCAACAAATAATTAAAATAAGTCACGATTGGCTGATTGATGGATGAGGCACACAATCGACATTAATTTTTTATTTAAAATAAATAATTTTAAATCATTTAGCACCTCCTGCACCTTTGTGCAGCCCACACTGCAGGATAAACTTCCTGCTGCAGCTGATCAGCTGATCTCCGTACAGAATGAAGAAGTGGGCGTGGCCAAGAACGCTTGCAGGTGGAAAAGAGCAGAGAAGGCAGGGAGCTGAAATCATGACATTTTGTGCTCTTTTAGAGCGTTTAGAGTTTAGAAACATTGTTTAGAATATTGCAAGTGTGGGA